GTAAATTTTGCAATCAACTAATTTTTCATTCGCTTTTTTCTTTTTTGATTTTGTTTGTAAGTCCGCTTTTCACGTTGAACTCGACCTGATTTTTCTTTTCATTTTCCCCTAGAAAAGTGTTGTCTGTTGGAAAAACGTTTTGACCTTTGCCGCCACATCGTGTTCGAACATTTAAACGGAAGTTGATTGCCGCTAAAGGTGAAGCCCAATTTCCGTTAAAGCCCCAAACTGGTTGCTCGAATGGCCGTCTTTTTCTAGCGGCAGATTACAAAAGCTAAGAACTCAATCTTTTCAGCCAGCTCTCTTAGCAGCTGTTCGTTCACTCGCTAGATTTGATCTTAGGATGCTGTTGTTGTTGCAAGTGTGCCTTTTAACGTGTTTTTGTTGTTGTTCTTTAGAGTTAAGAGTTAGGGGGTCAGACAGCAACATTCAACTGCCTGTTGCATTGTTGAAAAACCTATTTGCTGCCTATTCAAGTGGTGTTATGTGCTGTTTAAAAATGTAGTTTGGCACGAAAAATCAAAAACATGAAACTCAAGATCTTTAAAGCACGGCTACAGCGGCTTCATTAAAAAGCATGGAAGTTATTGAAGTTATTTGTCAAAAGAAGATTAAGAAAGCAATGAACATTAATTGAACTTTTATACAAAACATACTCACACATACATATACGAGTAATTGAGTTGTCAAAGAAGATATTTATTATAAATAACACAATTAAATGCATAACTAAATATAATTAATCCATAAAAAGGTACATTTTTTTAAACAGAAGATAAATAAATTCAAATATCTCGCTAATCATTCAACTTTTGAATTACCTAAGCGTGGAAAAACAGGATCATCTAAAAAATTGAAACAGTTTTAACAAATATTGATTTTGTTATAGTTATTATTATTCTTTTACATTATTATTTAGTGCCAGCAAAAAGCATATCAAATGTATCTTAAACTTAATGTTTTAGATTGATAACCAGATACCAAATATTAATGTCAAATATACAATTTACCAAACATAATTATTATAAATTTGTCAATTTTTGATTTCTAGTCGGACTTTAAGAAATCAAAACAAATTTTCTGTTTTGTCATATTTTTTGGGTTTTTATTTAATATTCTTAAAATTATTTTTAATGTTTCTTTAAATTGATGATTTCTCTATACGAGTATGTACATACATGGATACATGTTTATTATAATTTTTATTTATTATTCATTTATTCTTCATTTTAATACAGTTTAATAACATTCTTCCTTTTCTTTTATGATAAGATTTAGAAGAGAATTTCAATCAAAAGAAAGAAATTTGTTAAATTTTCATTTCATACTATATAATCATAAAAATGACTTTAATATATTAAGTTAATATATAGCGTAGAAATAGGCTAATGGGATATACAATTTAGTTAATGTTCCATTTATTCAGAATAGTTCGACTTGTTGTGCCCCGAATGATATAAAAATTATTTCAGGAAACCTTTAATGAACCTTGATTAAAGAAGCTTTTACTGACCACAAAGCTTAGCACATATATGTACATACATAAATAGTTATCAGGCATTATTTAAAATAAAATAAATACAGCTCAACTCAGATAAGATTATCTTTAATTGCATAAATACACTCAGCTTTTACACTCACCTTTAACATTTTATACTGACTCTCTGAGCTTACATGAGTAAACCGTGTAATCGTTGCAAAGTAGTGGCACATTTTAAAGCACAAATATCTGTGTTTATTTATGTTTAGTTGCAGCTCATTTAACGGCGCCCCATCTCATAACTCTACATACACACACACACACACACACTATACTCGTAGGCATCAATGCATTGCCGTAAAATCAGTGGCGTGTCAAAAATTCGCACTAATTCGTTCAAAACAACCGTTAAATCTAACACTAGTAATTACAGATAAAGGCAGTCGCTGTCAGCTGACTGGGGCCCATTTACAAGCTCAAATTACAATAGAGGCCCATTGTGTGGCGGTTCAAAGAGTACATAAAAACACTAAAATAGCGCCCCCACAATTTCTGTTATTCGTCGCACACATACACACTCTATATACACGTATGTAGTAGGTGTGTGTGTGCGTTGGTTGAAGCCCGCTGTCCGTTGCTTTTGCCATTCAAATGCAAAATGACCAACGGACAACCGTTACAATGTGGCTCATTAAAAAAAAAAAGATTTTGAGTACCTAGCAACAACAGCAATAACAACAACAACAACAACGATGTGCTGTGTGCACGTCAATAAAAGTTCATAAAGAAAATAAAAAATGTGTAAAAAGTGACGCGCCGTCAAACAAAAGAGAACATTTTGTTTGCTATAAAATGTTTCACGCCAATTCTTAGCTGGAATTTAATGCCACAATTGTGTTAAAGGAAGACAAGCTAGAGATGTTGGCAGGCAGAGATCTTTTACAAAAGGGGCGCGCATCAAAATGTCAGTCAGACTTAATAACACCAACAACAACAAAATAGCGGCAACAATTTAAAATTCATAAAATCAAAAAAAAAAAGAGAAGAATAAGCTGAAACTGTGCCAACAGTCAAAGTAATGAGCATGAGTAAAAAGTAACCAAAAAAGGCAACAAGAAAAAACACAAAAAATACAACAATTACACACAATGGCGGCAGCAGCAACAGCAGCATAGCGCTCATGGGCGTAGCCAGGATCACTTTTAGGGGGAGTCAAGTTTTTTGCCCGCATGTCTCCCTACGCTACACCCATGATAGCGCGTGAGTAGGCTTAGCATCGTTATTGCTGTTGTTGTTCGAACAATTGAGAGTAAGCTTTTGAGAGCGCCCACAAAGCTAAAGATTACGCTTCGTGTACCTCGGCTTGGTTCGGCTCGTTTGCCGAACACGGAAGTATGTCAGCAGGTCTCGTGTAACGGTAGTTTGCTGCCTCTCTGCCGCTGTCAGTTGATGCCAAAGCTACGCTTAGCTGCGCATGCTTAGCTGGCGTCGCGACGTTGCGATGCTTTCCGCATATTGGAGTGCGCGGCTTGGCAACATGTTGCCAGCTGCATGTTGCGCAACATGCGCTACAACAACCTGTTGAAAGCGAAATTTTCTCTGCGCTCTTTTTTCGTGTGTCCAAGGCTGTGTTTGTGTATTTGTATATGTGTGCGCGCTGGCCAACATCATCACAGTGGTTGCTTTTGTTGTCTTTCTTCGTCTAGCGCTACTTTTGGTCAACTGCGCTTTGTGGCTTTCTTCGTCTGAACATAACTGGCCAAGCCTCAAAAAATCAACTTAACTGTTTATGCACAAAAAGTTTTGTTGCCTCTCGACTCCGTCTGCTTTACCGTTCGTTCTGCGTCAACCCGAAAAAAAAACTAGTTAACCAAATGAACTTCTATAATTGTTGTTGTTGCTGTTGTTGCTATTGTTGTTGCTCATTTCTTTTGGACACATGTGTGTAGGATTTTCTATTTCATTGCGTCTTCTTCGTTAGTATTTTGTAGTCGTTTAGTGTTTGGTGTGGGCTTTTTGGGTCTACACCTGTCCAGTTGTTGCTGTTGTTGTACTTTCATTGTCGGTCTCTCTCATCAAAACTAGTATGTGTGTATATATGTATGTGTGTGTGAGTGTGAGTGTTTACTTTACTTCTTTCTTCTTTCTATATCTGTTGAGGCGCACCAATCAAGCGTGCACCTCCAAAAAAAAAACGTATCAAACGTATTATGGACTGTGCCGCTGCCGCCACTGCCTTCCTCTATCGTTCTTCACTTTTGCCAGCGCATTATTTCTATCGATTTATATGCTAATTTAACTGATTATTAATGTTTTGACCCAAATACCGTTGGAAATTATTATTGGCCATTCTTGTGACGCTGCTATCGATACCCACCGCTCCCCACCTGTCCCCACCTGGCATTGGCTTCTCAGATTTTGATTTTCCATGCATATTATAGCCATCGCGTGCAGCTTATCTGTTCAACGTCTTCAGTTAATCTATTGCTCAGAGATTGTTGTTGGACGCCGCTTGTAATCTTTGTGTGAAATATTAAGGGACCGGACCATGGAAATATTGTGATATGCTTTGAGGCGCAGAGGGGCGGGCAAATGAGTTTGTATTAATTTACCATTAGGGAGCTATTAACGGCAGTACGACCTGTCGTATATCGTAGATTGAAGATCGATTCGTCATTTGAAGCAAAAACTATAGGAGGTGGTGGGTTGGGGCCCCCAAATGGGGCACCATAGATTGTTTTGAATGATAGCTAGAGGAACCTATTCAGCTTATAGATATCTGTTTATGAAACTATGGAATGATTCAAAGTAATTTTTAGTTGTTAAATACAATCTTTACATTCTGGGTCACCAAAGAGGAGCTGGTTGGGAGCATTTACTAAGCTAGCACAGCCTATTTTCAAGGATAGAGAGTTAAATTTTTATAGGTTGAGGAAGTTATTAGGGCTACACAAACATAAATATAAATGTTTATGGGTTTATTTTAGGAATAGTGCTTAAACATTCAGTATTTTCATTGGAGGTCAACAAAAATGTGGTAACTGGGACTGATTAACTCATATTTGAGGAATATGAGCCCTTAGTCTTGTAAAATACATAGTTCTTTAAGAAGTCGCTCACTCTGAGCCTCGCTAATGATAACTAAGATACGAAAAGGCTTAAGTACCACCAATATTATTAGGAAAAATATCCCAATAGTGACATTAACACATTTTCGGGTACAAAACTTGAAATACTGTGGTCGTAAGAGAGCTACTTAGTCACCTGTACCTCTTAGCCCGCACCTCGTATCGTGTACCCTTTAGCCTTTAACTCTTAGTTTGTAATTCTTACTGTACTACCTTTTAGTTATACCACTAATTTATAGAACTTATTCTCATTCAACTTCTTTATATTTCTTTTATTACAGCTCCAACTTAACCCAACGAAGCATATTTTTTCAACGGGCATTAAGAATAGGAACATCAGCAAAACTAATTAGAAAGAAGAAGCTGTTCTTTTGGTTGCCGGTCAACTGACAATGAAGTTTTGCAGCATGAACGGCCCAAGTGAATCGGAAGTTGAAAGCCTACTCATGAGCCCCTGCTGGGGACCCACACAGACTAATGGCCAGGACCAATATCTGCTCGATGGCCACAAGCTGTTGCTGGATCACGATCTGGACTCACTGCCCAGCGATACGGATCAGAAGAATTCATTGGACGTGCTCGACAATTTGCTGTTGAACAGCTCGTCGCTAAATGCGCTCTCCGATCTGAAACCACTGCCTCCCTTCACCGGCTACACCGGCCACTTATCCATCAATGGCATCTCTGGGCATCATTATCATGCGATTGCGCAGCGATTGCCCGACGAGAGCAATAACAATTATATACAGAGTGCCTATCAGGCTCAGCATCAACACCAGCAGCAGCAACAACAACAACAACAGCAGCAGCAGAGCACAAATCCCACGTCTACATCGGCCCAGATGGGCGCCTCCACGGGCAACTCACCGCTGTCGAATGTCACGTTGGGCGGGAACGGCACCAGCGGGAGCTCCAACCACTCTAGTGGCGGCTCCAATGAACACAACAACATAGTCTCCTCGTCCACTTGCCTGCCAGAGAGCGTGCTTAGTGCCGCCGATGCCGCCGATGCCTGCCTCAGCGATGTGAAGCTCTTTGCCGATAGTCAGTTAGATTCTAAGATATACTCAGTAGCCGATAGCTGTGTTATGAGCGCCGGAAGCGGTGGCAACAACAACTCCCAAGTGGCCACACTCACACCCATCGATCAGGTGGCGGACTCGCTGCATGGCAGCGGAGTGCGCATCTACAAGGATCTGACGGAATATGTGGATATGAATTCGATTGACGATATTGCGGCAATAATTGGTTCGGCCATTGCGGACACCACAGTCCCCAATCAGCTGGATAAGGACGAGGGTAACGATACGCGTGACTCCTGGATGGATTTGGATGCGTGGATCGATGGTACCTGCATACAGCAAGAGGGTAAGCTGGTGGTGTCCCAACAGGACACGCTCAGCGACTTCATACTGCCCCATTCGCCGGTGCATACGAGTAGCTCGACATTGCAGAGTCTCCTCACACACGGCTATATGCCGTTGCTACAAAACCGCCTGCAACATGGACCGCCCAGCAATGCGGCGACAACGTCGAATGCGACGGGGGGCATGAAGAGCGAGACGCCCAGTTCTACCTCATACTGCAATGAACTGTCCACGGCCACGTCCAGCAGCAGTCCGCCGGGATCGGTGGTCAGCACCAGCACAGACAATCTCATGATTAATCCGCGCTACCTAACCAATGCCAGCAGTCATCAATACCAGCTGGGCGCTGGCAATAACAACGGCTCCAACAATGGCATGCAGACGAATTCGGGTGGCATGGCGGGCAGCCTGAAGTCCGATGGACTCTGTAGTCCCGACATGCTCGGCAATTACCCGCACACCACCACCGTCACACCGACTGGCACACCCAAAGCCAAACGCTCCCGCTCCCAGAAAAAGTCCAGTCAGCAGCAACAACAGCAACAAAGTGGGAGCACCGCTACGGCGCCGGCGCCACCCCAACAGCTCAATGCTATCTCACCCTCCAGCGTCAACAGTTTCAGCGCCAACGATCTGTCCGGATTGCTAGGCAAAGAGAAGCCCGTCCATCGTTGCAGCATCTGTAATCGGGGCTTCCTCAATAAGTCCAACATAAAGGTGCATCTGCGCACCCATACCGGTGAGAAGCCGTTCCGGTGCGATGTCTGCGCCAAGGCCTTTCGACAAAAGGCGCATTTGCTCAAACATCAACAGATACATAAGAGAATTGGGCGTGACTGACCGTTGCCTCACGCTAATTTGCTGGCCAATGACGACGCTACAAGTAGTAGAAGGAACAGAAGAAGTTACAAAACGGCCCACAAACAGCATACAATGAAAAGTTGTGGGGGATTGGGGTTGGAGTAACTAACCCCCAATACCCAACCACTCCCTCTCTGTTTGCTGGCTGTGGTTCGCTTTTGTTTTGGGGAAAACGTAAACCAAAATTGCACTTCCAATTTTGTGGTTTACGGCTTCTCGTGTGTCGCATTGCTTGACCATGCATGGGTTTGCCTGCTGGGTGGGTTAGCCTTGCGCCCAACCACGCCCACATGCAACAAACCATGCAAGCTATTTGAAAAAAAAAAAGGTGAAGCAATGCCATACACAAAATTTTTGATATTCGTTGTTGTTGGTTGCTTTTGATCTCTTCGCTTTGTTGTTAGCATTTTAGCAAAATGTACAATAATTTGTACCACAATTGGGTTAAAGAGGGGTAGCAAAAAATAGGAAAACAATTGCATAACATAAGAAGATTTGGTTCATTGCAAAACATAAAAAGCTGAGCTGTAAAATAGTTTTAAAAAGGGGTCCCTTCAATTGTCTTGAAAGCATTCAATGTTATCTATTTTTTATTATCAAAAAGAAATACAGGTTAAAAGCAAACTTTAAAATTGCTCCTCAAACAATATTAGCGTACTGCATTTAATTTGCATATCCTATTTGTTACAACAATTATATAGAACAGATTCTATCTATAACATTTTCGATATTTGATAAATCTTCGAATCTAATCGTCTATTATTGACAAAGTTGATTTAGCAAATCATCAACCTACTACCTCCCAAAGCAGTTAGTTTACAAATTATTAGCCAGTCAACTTATAAAAAAACAGCTGTTTGAAGCCGTTTTATGACTCCGAAACTGCACAACATTATCTGATTTCCAATTATTGATTTTATGCCACTAAAACAGGACTTGAAAAAGATTAGGCAAAATGCTTAACATTAACTGAATAGTTTAAACGATTTTATACCAATAAACAGGCCATTAAAGGCATCTTGCTGTGCGGTCAGTCAGGCAAATAATTTGCATACAAGCTCTCAAGATTGTGTGCAAATTATTTGACTGTCTGAACCTAGCAAATATATTACTTGCAGAACTTCAGAAAAGCCTGTAGAATCAAGTCTAGATAGCCAAGTAGGAGATAAATCTCTATTTCAGTTTAATAAGTTTTAGTTAACAGAGGAAATACTTGTCTGTTCAATGGCACTGTTAGACAGCATGTAAAGGGATTTTCATCTTCGGCTACTGTTAAAGTTTACATGGACTGTTATGAGGACGCTGTTAAGTTGATAGAATGGAAGATTTACCTTTCCCTCTGTAAAATGTACCCTGAGGGAAATGAAAAAGAATTAACTTTGTTGAACTGACTTTGTTTTCAATAAATTGATTGAAATACTTACAGTTGTTGTAGATTCCTGAGGTTCGTTCTATTTTCAAATATTCTACATTTTTTATAATATCTCGAACTATTCGGTATTTTAACACTAGTTCCAACTGGCTGTGAACCAAATTAGGTAACGAGATTTTTTCAATTCGGAAACGTACTGATAAACTCCCAGCCGCCAGTTGGAAACCCCTTTTTTGAGGCAGCAACACCCCAAAAAAAAGAGACCACAAGCAATGTAAGAACAACGAAGCGTCCAATTGTCTTTTTGCAACTGTTGTTCTGTTTTGATGCAAAACTGCGCGGTTCGTACACCTTGGCACAGGTATCTACATATATTAATACATAAGTATATAGGCGGATGAAAATACATGAATATAGTTAGTACTGCTATTATATAGTATAGTGAAGAAAAAGTAATGATAACAATTCGAATAACAATCTATATGTATAAATAAATGAAACGAAATTATAATTAATATTCTGATATGTTATTTTTTGTACCTCATGTTGAAAACTGTTAAACAAAAGCAATACAATTATAAATTAATTATGAATAATTACAATTTAATGTATGTACAAAAGAAACGTTTTTAAGCACACACTTTCTTAGACCTTAAGTTGTAGCGGGCTTGGCAAAATATTTATGCAAATAAATATCTAAATATATATTTAAATTATTTCAATATAATTCTTAATAAACAATTAAACAAAATACAATAGCAAAGTACTCAAGTAATAATTTGTATTGAACTTATACCATAAATTTAATGTTTGTTAATTTGTTTTTTAATCATTTGTTGCTAAAGTTTATATTATATACGTATGCTTAACTTAATCTACTTATGTTTAATAACTATTGGAAGATATAAACGAATATTTTCTTTGAAATTATTTATGCGGCGTCCTTTACTTACCTTCTAAACTTTCAATGTTCAAGCTCTTTGGAAATTACAAAAACATTAATTTATTGAAATTACAAAATTTACATCAATTATAATTTTAAATAATATGTTTAGTTCTAGCAATGTGCAATTTTATTTATTCAAAATGCATGCGTTTTATTGAATTGTCCCGTCAATTTGTAAACATTTCGTTTGTAAATATTTATTCGCTAATTCTAATTTTAGTTTAATGTTTATTTTTAATAAAGAAATACGCAAATTGTCATTTAAAATGTGCAACAAAAAGAATTGTTTCAAGCAAAGTGAATGGTGGTTTGTCTGCTTAGTAACTGGAACAAAATGTTGGGAATATCCCAAAATATAAAGAAGTATATGGCGGGTCTAAGAAAGAAAGGTAAGACTTAAAGAAATTATTTTGCTTGGTTCTTTTTAATAAAAATATTTTTCTTAGACAAAGTTTAGACAGATTAGTACATTTTCAAAATTAATTAATTTAAAAAAATTCCTTGTGAAATATTTTTTCCTAAATTACGGCCACAACTGCATATAATTTGCATACAAATTTGTCGTGTTAAAAACATAGGCGTTGAAAAGGAAAAAGGGTGTACTATTTTTTATAAAAAATAATATAAAATGCAAATAAAAAATGACATTTTTTTCTGAAAGCATAATAAATTTTAATCATGATTTTTTCTATTTTTACAATAAACTAAAGATTTTGACATATTTTTCAATTTTTCTAATAATACTTCATAAACTTTTCTGAATTTAATTAATTTTTTAAATGTTAAAGTCGAAAAATTATTATTTTATATTATTAATTAATAAAATCAATCATTTTTTTTTCATTAAAATCAAAGTATATAATAAATAAATTAAAAATAAAATACAAGCTAAATGGGGAAAAATATTTAACACTTATTTGGGTCTCTTCATGTTAGTAATTGGAAAAGAAAATTAATAACTTTGCTCGAATATTCGATATAGATTTAATTTTTACAGTATTTGCAAAATATGAAATCGTTATGATTTAAACTTTGAAATTTTGTTGACTATTTATTGTTTATTATTTATTCAATACTTCCATAAGAAAGGTAACTTATAAATTATACCAAATTTCTAGGTCTTACCTTACACACATAGCATAATGGTGCGTTTTAAATATTAAAGCGACTAACTATTTATCATGCTCTCTGCCATCTGCTTAGACGGCTCCTTCTCTTTCTGTTTAGACCCAAATCGATCATTCACATTCAATGCATAACAGTTTTGGGTGGCGCGTTGTCGCTTTGCCCGCATTGCGCATGCCCCACGCATATGTGACCATTAAAAAATGGAAAAAAATAAAACCAAACCTGACAACGTGCTGCGCATGACATTAACAAGCTATCACAACAACAAAAACCACAGCAACAATAACAGAAATGCACAGATAAATGGAGTAAATATTCCAACAGTGACCAAAAAGTAGAGATAGAGAATGGGAGACAAAAAAAGCCAGCAAGCCAGAATCATTACTGACCACAAATGCCACAAAGAAAGCAAAGCAAAGCAAAATGGAGAAAGAAGTGGTGGCTGGCAGAAAAAAAAAGCAAACTCACACCAACACACACACACACACACTTGAACACAACTACAAAGACAGCTTGCCATGCATTCTGTGCCACTGACCTAGTTTCATACTCGTTTTGCTCTCTCGTTCTCCCACCTTGTCGCTCTTTCTCTCCCTCTCTCTCTCTCTCTCACTCTATCTCTGTCAGTCAACAGCGCCATCTCGCCGAAGAACGCAGCAAAGCAACCGCAACGGATTTGAAATGTGAACTTGTATGGCCATCCACAAGTCGCAAGTACGAAGAACGCGGCTTTAAGATACCAAGATACTTTGCTCTTTCACCGCACACCAACACACACACACACACACACACACACACGCACACACACTCTACAGATAGATCGTCTTAAGTTGGCTGTCGCCTTTTAGCCAGCATCGCATCGCGTATCCGCATTTCTTTAGCTTTTTTGTATCTTGAACTGCCTCACTGGCTTCTTTGGCTTCGTTTACTTTTCTTTGCGTTGCTTTGCTTTGCTTTGCCTCTGCATCTGTATCTGTAACTCGTTTCTGTGTACTCGTATCTGTTGCCTCGTATCTGTGGCACTTAAATTTATGCAACATCATGGCTACGACTCTGTAGCTGCCTCTCAGCCTTTGACACGAGCCCCTCTGTTACTGCCGCACGTAGCCAGCCCAATGCTTACTTGCCGCATTCAAATTCCTTTTATTTTTGAAAAGAACAAGATTTACAAAATTTCCAAATACGCAGAATATGCAAAATAAATGCTGTATTTCGATATCAGTTTAGTTTTATTTTCCGGAAATTTATGAGATCTTTGCCACAACAAGTTTGGAAAGAAAAGTAACCCCAAATGGCCCTCAATTTTTCAACAGAGAATTGCATTTTTTATTAATCGTGTAAAATGTTATATATGGTTTATTTAAATAGTAAAATTTTAGACAAATTTTGTGAGTGTCAATTTTTCAAAAGAATTTCTGCATTACAAACAAAGGAGTATTATTTTTAAAAAACAATAAATAAAATACACACATATATAAATATATTTCAGAATAATGTGCTTTAGCTTTTTTTATATATACAAACTATTTTCGT